GCCCGCGGCAGCTGCCTCCGTGACGACTGCCGGCAACGCGGCGACCTGAGGAGACCAAGCCGCGGGCCCCGCCGTCACCGCCTCTCCCGGCTGTCTTCCTGCCCCTCCTCTCCCGACAGGGGCGTCAGGAATGGGCCCCAACGGCCACGGGCCCCGCTCGCTGAGCTGTCCGTAGGCCCCAGCCGCCGGAGGCTGGCCGGGCGGCCTTTCACCACCCCTCGCCCCATCCAAGCCGACCCCACCCCAAATCCTTGGGAAGGAAGATGAGGGAGACGGGCCCAACGCTCAGCAGCCAGAGCAGCAGCAGTAGCAGCGGTCGGGGGAGGGTGTTTCGCCGTTTCCTCTTAGCCGCCAGGACAAGATGGCAGCGGCCGCGGAGAGGGGCTGAGCCCGGGCTGGGTGGTGCCGCCTGCTGAAGCGTCTGGCTCCCTGTCCCCGGCACGGCCCCGCACCCCACCCCGGACATGCTCAGGGTTGCGGCCGCCCGAAGAAGGGAGAGCTCGGGCCTCTAGGAAGGTAAGGGACTAGGGCGAGAGGCGCCCCCACCCTAGGGCGGGGGACCAACTCGGTCTGCGGAGCCTGCGGGCGGCTCACCATCCGGCCCATCATCGTTGGGACCCCGGCCTGGCCTGACCTCCCTGGAGTGGCCAGCACCCGCCGCGCGTCCTGCCTCCCCCTCAGTATCCCCAGCGCTTGCGTGGTCCCCGTCCCCACCCCCCACTGACCCCCGTCGTGTGGCCCAGTTCGGGCGGCTCCCGCTCGGCCGGTTCGTGCCAGGCCAGAGGCTGCCAGGCGCTGGGGCCGCGCTTGGTTCGTGCGCGCGGTGTCGCAGCCTCCGGGAAACCACGCTTGGGCCGGGCCAGGCGGCCCCGGCCTCCCCACTGCCAGGGTTGCGCAACGGCTCTTCCCAGCAACCGAAGTTTTGTTTAGTCCCACAGGGGGCCTCTCTTCCCTTATCCCAGCCCTAGGCCGTAACTACGGATACCCCTTTTATTTCATTAAGGGGAACAAAAACACACGCACGCACGCACGCAACTTGAGCGCCCCAGCCGATGGCCGCGTCCCCAGCTTTGGGCCCCCGTCACCAGCGTCGCAGAGCGGCGGGTTTGGAGGGTGTCAACTCCGGGGACGTGAGTGCGTGTGATTGTTGGGCTGGAGAAATGTGATCCGCGGCTCGGCGTCCCCTCGCCGCGGCTGGAGGAAGGCGTGGCGGCCGCGCGGCGGGGCTGTTGCCGGCTTGTCTTGTTACGGTGGCGGCCGCCCGCTTCCCTTCGCCGCACTGGGAGAACTCGCAGAAAGACTTCGATGAGAATTTGTCTGTTTTCCTGTCGGGAGGGAGACGGCTGTTTTAAAATGGTATGTGGCTCTCGGCGAAGCCTCTTGTTTCCCAGTCTTACTTCTGCTTGAGGAATTGCGCTGAAGGGTGTGTACATAAATTACCTTGGACCTGTTACTGAGTAGTCGCTGCGCGTTCAGTCGCTGAACCGTGTTTTCACAAGCTCTTGCTGCCCTGTTAGGGAATTTATTTTTCCACCTGTCAGTTTGCTGCTTCTAAGTATAAGGAACTCCTTTTAGCAACAGCAGAGTTTTTCAGATTACCGTCCAGTATACAGGGAAAGCTTATTGTTGGTTCTGTTGTCAACTATATTTTGATGTTTCTCTGATACAGGGGCGGAAAAGTTAGCTGGTAAACCAGTCTGTGTTTGTGCTTATGCGTACTGCCTTTTAATTGTGTGGCTGATTTTTTTTTTTTTTCTTCTTCTTTTAGGTATTTGCCTGTTAGGTGTAGCTTGTGAAGTGGAAGTTTTTATATTAAAATCATTTCAGTTTATTTCAAAGGTTTAATTGCTTGGTGCTTTAATTTTTTTAAGAGGTCCTCATTTTGATCAAACTTTTGATGAAAACTTCTGAGCAGGACCAGTGGGTTTTGTTTTGTTTTCCCGATTAAAACATTTTAATCCTACATTGTCAGAATTAATTTTTCAGAAGTTGGGCAAATTTCACCATATGTTTGATAAGTCTAGGTTCTGCTTATGTTTGCAAGTGCAGTGCTAATTTTATACAATGAGCAAAGATAAGGGTTTGGTAGGTCATGATTAAGCTTAGTATTTTCAGTAAACAAAATACGACTGACCTTTTTTTTAAAAAAAGTCTTACGGTTTTATTGATTACCTTATGTCTTCATGCGTATTAAGAGGAATTAAAATGTAACCAACAAAATAAAGTTCTTTATTTTTAAATCAACAAGGTATTTCTTAGTATATTTATGGCTGTGTTCATAAGGTGTAGGGAACTATTGTTTATGAAATATAATGCTCAACCTATTTGAGCTTTGTTTTCCTCTTTTGTTTTTGAAACTTAATTGTTTTTAATTTTTGTGAACATAGAAGTGTGCTAAAATATTTGAGATTTTTTTGGACTTTTTTTTTTTTTACTTAATGAAAAATTGAATAAGATTTTAGTTTGCTTCTGTTTTTTTTTTTTTGTTTACTATAGGGAATATATTTTCGAAAAAATGTGTGAAGAACCTTAGATTAAAACTGTGTTTGAGAAAGGTAAGATGAGCTTGAAATCTAGAACAGAAATGGCCGTTAAATGTTTCAAATTTATATTTGGACATTGCTGACTAGCTAAACATGCATATTAGGCAAGCAGATCATAATGTGGTGAGCCAGTCTTAGCTTATTGTCATAATACCTTTTTCATTGAACTAGTCATTTTCTTTCTTATAAACCAGTCATTGACTTTTGGGCATGGGGTTTTAGAGTCACGTTAAAGTGGGTGGTTTCTATGAGATAGTTCTTGTAAACATGCTTGAAAAGAAGCTTTAGATCATACTGTTTTAATTTTTTTGGATGTTCTGTCATGGGATACCATAAAATGGGCAAATTACAGTGGTAAGTTGGTGTGGCAAGTATGGCATGGGCACATAGATATTTATGCTTAATGCAAGGTGTTGGAAGCCTTTATTTTTCTTGCCACTTTAAAAAGCAACAGCTGTCAAATGAACTTTTTGATTTTTTGATTTAAATATTTGATAAGTGAACACTGAAATATGGAAAGGAGAAAGGGGAAAATGTAAATTTTAGAAGGCTGGAATACCATTTTCCAAACCTGATTCACATCCTTTGAATGGAATACTTGTTATTTTCCATTTCAATTTTAGAATGACTGTTACTCTGGTAACTTAAGAAGTTAACTTTATTTTGTCAGGTAAGAGGAGTTAATTTTCTTAATATTCTGTTCTCATTGCAGCAGTTCACCAAGCATGAGTATATGGTAGACAAGAATTTAATTAGTGATGGCTGATTCAACCGTATAAAAATGTAGTTTCTATTGCAGCTTCATGTTTGAGTTTGGAGATGAAAAAATGGCATGACAATGTTTAGATTTAAGGATTTTCTAAAGGAACTTTGAAAAATTTCCATGTTTAAAATACCCTCCTCCAGAAGTTGTTATTGCTGTCTCCTAACTATCAGAGGATACAAAATAACTTCCTGTATGATTATATTGTTGCTTTCAAAATAAATATTAATGTTGTAAAATTTCTGGATTGCAGCTGTCCTAATTTCTTAGTGTCTGAAGTTGAGATGTCCAATGTGGGATGTTTAACTTGGAAGTTACTTCTAAAGACAGACTCCTAGAGCTTTGTTAAAATGGAGGAATATGTCAGTGTGTTTATTTTTTTTTGAAAGCTCCTCCCCTCCCTCCCACCCCCCATAACTGGGATGTGGTGGTGTTTCTCTCTGTGGAAAGCCTTTGTATGGGCTTTCCCTGTGTATCTGACACAAATGAAGTCTGAAGGAATTATTTTAAATATCCTTATTGGTTCTGGACCCAGCTGCTTAAAAAATGTATCTTGTGTAGTACCTTTAAGCACCTAATATAAGTTGAATAGGGATATATATTTACAGTAGACGTTTTAAATCAGTGGAGGTTTTTACGATAGCAGGGCACTTTATGTGGCTGATTTTAGGAAGTATAATCCATTTCTCTTGGTTGACTTGGTATAATTAAGAGTGGTTTTGGGAAAAAAAACTTGATATTAGTGTGGTGCTTCTGTAACTTTGTCTAGGTTTTTAGTGGCTGTTAGGACCAAGATAGAGTAGATATTTGGAGGATGTATGTTATACATTTTACATTTAAGCGTTGGTCAAATTAGACCTTGAGCTTTTTAGCAGATCAGGCTGTTCTTGTCAGTTGATATCTGGGCCATATTTCACTACACAGAGGCAACACTGCCTTGACTCTGAAACACACCACTGTTATGCCACGGACCTAGAGCCTCTGCTCTTACTACTTATATGGAAATTTAAAAAATTTGAGGAGTATTGAAAATATTATGTTTCTGGGGTGGCGTTTGTGGTCCGGAATTCCCTGGCTGGTGCAAGTGGTTAATACAGTCACCTGCTGACTGAAAGGTTGGAAATTTGAGCCTATCCAAAGGTGCCTTGGAAGAAAGACTTGGCAATCTACTTCTAAAAAATCAGTCGTTGAAAACCCCGTGGAGCATAGTTCTACTCTGACATACATGGGGTCACCATGAGTTGGAATCAACTGATGGCAGCTGGTTTTATTTGTGGTCCTGGCCTGGTTTGGGGATAGCTAACTCATTAAGCAGATTTCTTTTGTCTTTTGTGTTTGGTAGTTAATACCAAGTCAGTACTTTAGAAACCTTTCTTTTTCCAGCACAAAGTCTTTGAAGTGAAACAAACCAAGGACATTGTTTTTGACCTTGAATGTATTTTGTTTACTTGAACCAAACATTTTCTTAATTTTCTAAAAGAGTGTGAATTTTTCCCTCCTGTGGGAGATTGAGTGGAAGGGAAGGTAGTGGAGGGGGTAAAGTAGGGGAAACTGGACAGTAGTAGGAGGAAGAGTTTGATTTAATTGGATTTGGTAGACTAAGAAACCTATTTTGATTTAAATGCTCACATTGCTAGAGACCAGAGTTCACTTAGTTATAAAGTCAGTGAAAAATTGCAGTAGCTTGGGGGAAAGATTAAGAATAAGTCAGTGACACCTGATAAATGATCAGTCTTGTGAAATAACATCTCTGTTTATCATTCTTCAGTTTTTAAATCCCATTGTTTTTGTTTTGTTTTGTTTTTCTCTTGCCTCTCTCTTTGTGTCTTCTTCAATCTGAAAGGCTTTTCCTTAATGTAGAATTTAGGGAAGATAAACTTTGTATACGATGTGTTAGGAAATGTCTTATAAATTACAGGCCTAACCTGAAATGAGAAGTATGAAGAGCATAAAAAAACCTGTTGCCATCAAGTTGATTCTGACTCATAGCGAGCCTATAGGACAGAGTAGAACTGCCCCATAGGGTTTCCAAGGAGCACCTGGTGGATTCAAACTGCTGACCTTTTGGTCAGCAACTGTAGCTCTTAACCACTACGCCACCAGCGTTTCCAGTGAAGAGCATAGAAGTTATTATTGCTATTAAAATGAGTTTGATTAACAAGTTTTTTTTTCCAGTTTTTGAGGATCCTTAAAAATAAAACTAAGGGACC